AAGTTATATGGTTCGCGCAGCCTAGTCACATCAAATCATATCAAGTAGTGCTGAAAATTTTGTCGATCATTACTTATTATTGAATTTCTATGGATAACATTAGATGGGCAATGATTGTCAGCGCAGAAGGGTTTGGCGCATGTGAATAATAGAAGTAGGGTGAACAGGAGATTGATAGGTATAAGGAGGGTGTTTCAGGAGTTGTAGATCATTTTCATTTTGCTATCACTCGCCTTAGAAGAGGCTGGTTCGATCATCACATTACTTAGCATTGAATGGAATGAGTCTTTGTTTTCAATGCGCATGGTAATGTTTCACGGCTGCAATGGAAGTGCAAGAACCATAGAAATTTCCAACAACATATCCTCATCTTTTAGCTATATGGCGCTTCTTCATTTGCAAATGCGCTGTCTCCTTCCCTGAAAGCACAATTGGTTGGATCATCATTTGGTGAGAATATTGTACTTGGATCTGTCATAGGGCTGCAAAGTGTTGATTTTGGCTGGCCATTGAGAATGCCTTTATTTAGTAGATCAGATTTAAACGTGCTTGTAAAAGAGTCTGTTAGTAATAACGAGAATGTTTTTGTATGTTTTTTTATTGTATAACAACAAATCTCTGGTCGAGTAATAATAATATAAAATCTAGCAGCAGTACATAATGCTGCACGTTTGATAGTTAATAGAAATTGAAACAAATCTATCGTTATAATCTTTATTTTCTATTACACTTTTGTTCATAAAAAGGTTATTTGACATTTGGGTCTTTGCCTTGAAAATTATGATATGGGACACATGATTTACTATGTCTCATAACACGATTTTCAAGCAAAGTCAACTCTATCCTTCTCATTTTTGTACAATCTGAATACCTATTGAACTTTGTATGATATCAGTACAATGAATTAACAAATGAAGAATTGATTTACGGGTTGATAAGTCGAACCGAAAAATTGGATTATAGAGAAGATAGAAGATAGACAGAAGAAGATAGATATATTATACAAATGTGAGAAAATGGTATAGTCGTCAATAACTGCTTCACAATAATACCGGAGCGGAGTGCAACGACGTGTATGGCTATCTGAGATGTGAACAAATACGGTCTTCTGATTGGTCATATTTCCCTTATGAAATGGTATTCGTAGATGCCATTTACAGTTTAGTTACATTTATATGTTATTATGCAGACGATTATTTTAAGTGGCATTGATATGCATGTTTTTTTCTAATTTTACAAAATTTTGTCCATTGGTATGGTTTTTCTAAAAAAAAAAACCGTCTTATACCAAACGTATCCATTTTTTTTCCTATTTTGGTTATTGATTTGAACAGCCACCTTACCATTTTTAACAGGTTTTGCTTAATTTAAAAAATTCACTTCGGATTATGTACGTTTGATTGATGTTCCACTTCGATCAATGTAGGACTGGCCTTCATCGGATAATTCTGGGTAACAGCCAAAAAAAAAGAAAGAAAATATGAAAACAGGTAGACGTAACACTACAAACAAAAAATTAACATCATATGATTAATTTATTTACGTTATGAAAGAAGAATAAGACTTTAGCTTAATCGTCATATGTTTCATCAATAATCATAAGTTTCGTTAATCAAACGATTGACAAAGATTTCATTATTCGTCTATGAGAAAGTTTCGTCATCTATTAAACATCGTTAACGTGAAACATTAATAAAAGCCGCGGAGCGAATTATTAATATATGTGAAGCAGGGTTGGCAAATGACTTTTAAATGACATAAATGACATTGTGACATTGTCATTTGTCACTTTGTCATTTAGAAGATAAATGGCAAATGACAAATATAGGTTATATGTAAAAAATGCTAAGACCCTGAGATCATTAAGGTTTTGTCTCGCTTCGGTATTTTAGGATTGGTTAAATCCTAAAACACCAGAAGCTTTAATATATTATTTTTAAATGACAAAAATAACAAATGACCTATGTCATTTGTCACTAATTTGTCATTTGTCACGAAAATTTAAATGACATTGTCATTTGCTAACCCTGATGTGAAGAGGTCAAAATTAACACATTTGTCTTTAGAAAGAAATCATAATCAAAATTGCGAAACAATTATCAATATATAAAACCTGATACAACAAGCGAAAAGTCAGAATTATATTTATTTTATTTTCTTTGTGCTCCGAACTTTTTTTTGACAAGCTTAGTACAAGAAAACATGCATCGAGTATATACCGGGTGGGTGAAAAGTGACTAGACAGTGACCTTTTTTTAATCACTATTAATATCATTTAATGTTTAGTAATTATTGCAATGAATTAAAAATTACAATAATTTTTAATTTATTGCAATAATTACTAAATATTAAAATGATAATCATAGTGATTATAAAAAAGGTCACTGCACTGTCTAGTTACTTTTCACCCACCGGTATATCTATAGAAAATGCGAAAGAAAGTCAGATTAAATTGTAGTCTTAAAAAACATGGCTTTATTAATTAATCATTATCATCTATGTCTTTTCATTATCTTTGACTGTCTCTTTTGCATATGCTCAATCATATTCGATCGATAAAAGACAATCAAGCAACGTTGTAGCAGTATCATTACCAATGTCAACGTCAAAGTAAGATGTTTTTATATTATACAGTATGTGACAGAATAAGATATCAAATGTGTCAAATTTCCTAAAATTTAAATATTTTCTTAAACTGGTATGGTGCGCGCAGCCTAGTCACATCAAATATTTTATATTAAACTAAAAATTGCAAAGACTTTTTATCTAGAAGTTCAATTGCAAAAAAATTTTATATATTTAAGTAGTATTTGACAAGCTCTATTCAACTATGTATTTAGTTTTAAGCTTTTTAAAACCTTTATTAAGAAAATTTTAACTTTTAAAAAAAGCCATTTTAAAAATTTCAGCACTAATATAAAAAAATTAAAAAACATATAAAAAATTTAACCAATCAAATTCAATCTTATAAGTAATGATCGACAAAATTTTCAGCACTACTTGATATGATTTGATGTGACTAGGCTGCGCGAACCATATAACTTTTTAAAATTAAAAAATATCAAAATATTCCTCTTTCAGATTTATTATTAATTAAAGTGTAAGGGGATTTTGTTTTAGCCCATTTAAAAAGTTACAACAACTTAAAATTTACTAATATAAAAAATATACACGTATTTTTTAAACTGCAAAGACTTGATAATACAAAAAACATAATAAAGCTATCAATCTTTGAAGTTTATAATTTTTTTACTAGGATTTTAGCTAAAAATTTTACAGGCAGTTTATAGATTCGATGAGGCTGAATATAATAAATTAATATTTATTTTCTAGTTACTGATTTCTGTGAAAATGTTAATAATGGGATAAAAAATCAAAAAAAGTTCAAAATCCTATAGTGCGAATAAGGCCACGTTCGCATGTAAATATGATATAAATATACCTAGAAAAGTAGAACAAGTCCTTAGTAGATGACATTAAGACAATCACCCTACTTAATGGCAAGGTGGTTAATACTCTTGATCTTGGATAACCTCAATATAACGTCAATCATGTTTTTGAAGACGCAAATAATCAAATCATTTTTTGATTTTTTTTTCTGCTCGAGAATACTCTGGATCCTAATAGCGATGTAAACAATTATGTACTAGAAATAAATTTACAGAAGAAGATTACGAGATATCATGAATGATGACAATAATTTGCATTGGCTTGATAGTCGCATTAATGAGGCCAAAGGGATAATATTCAAAGGACTTTTATTTTAGAATAGTAAATTACCTCAGAAAAGACGATATTTATACTTCATTTGCTACCACTCGTATGGAAGTAATCCAATATTTCTGTGATGTTGCAGATAGTGTTGGTGCAAGAATTGACTTTGGTATTGCGTCAAACATTCAATATGAACTTATAACTCATTTCCCAGTAAATTGCATAACACCACCACAATAAACAGCTACAATAGTAGTAGCAAGATTGAATCCATTACCTTCACCGGCTCTGAACATAAAGTCATTGGAATCATAAGTCTTAAAAGCAATCCAAATTTATGCACAAAATGGTAAAACTGTTTATAACCAGCCTTCCTAGTAATACTATTAATGCCATAAGAACACATAAGGATCAGATAGCTGTCTACATGTTAAACACTTTGGAACTTTCTCTTGCTACTCTCGGTACTTCTATTATTTTGGTGTTCGGCGGAGAATTTATTGCACTTGGTGCAGCTGCAATAGCAGCTGTTGTTGCTATTATCGATCTCTACTTCCTCCTCTAATGCCTGCTCTTTCTAATGGCTAATTTTTAACAAAAAATCGCTTTTTCATTTTAATAATTTATTATTATTATTTTTTTATCAATTTGCTTATCTTTTCAAGCAGCTAGAAATTTCACATGTAAACTGTTTCAATGCTAATTTTTATGTAGATATAGTAAGTTATAAATAGATGTGTCAATGTGAGAGCGCAGATCATTTTACATGTGTAGTCAATTCACTTAAAAAATCAATAATTAATTAAGTCCGTTCCGCAATAAGTTTATTTATAATTTAAGACAATTTAAGTTTTAATAACAAACTCCACATATACTTTTTAAATCCAGCCATAAAAAAAAATTCAAGAAATTTTAAATCTTCGTTTTAAAATAGTATCAGTCATTTTCAGCATCAAGCGCACTGATAGTAATGGCGCAGAAGATATTGTGTAATAGTCTCGTGATCTATCAACCGGAACATTCGTCCCGAAGGATCACGGAACGGAAACAATTTACAGATATACAGTACATAATATTTATATCATTTGGTAAAAATAGAGTTGCATTATCACGGGTTATTTGTTTTGTTTCATAATTTTGGTTAAGCTTACAGGAATTTAGCCAGCTTACATGCATAATTACGTATACAAGAAACCATATATATTTATAGTTGCTTTATATATCGTAATTTAATCTGCACGTAATACAGTAATACATGTAACCATGTTTCAATAACTGTTTCAATGATAATCGATAAATTGACTTGTGTTTCATAAATAACGAAGAATAAACAAAAAAAAAAAATGACTTCCCAATCTTATAAAGATCTTATTCGTAATAATAAAAAGTTACTTCAAAACGAACATGATTCTGATGTTATAATTTACGTCGATGATGGAAAGAATTCAAAAGAATTTTATGCGCATTCACCTATTTTAATTGCACGTTCACCTTATTTTGAAACCGCTTTTTCCAATGATGTTGAAAAAGATGGTGATTTCTATATATTTAATATTCAAAATGTTTCTTCAACTACATTTGAAATTATTTTAAGGTATTTTATAATGATCTCTTATATAGTAATACTATTACCTGTTATAATGCCGTTTTACGAATGTTAATTTTTATTAATTATATATATATTAGATATTTATATATTGCAGAAATTTTGCTAGATGAATTAACTGGTGTCGAAATCTTACATATTCGTATCGCGGCTGATAAATTTCTTCCTAAAAAAGTTTCTGATAATATTCAATTATTTTTGGATCAAAAGCTAGAAGAATTTGTACGACATGATGCTGTTAGCATGTTACAAGAAATCTTTAAATATAATAATAGTATATGTGAATCATTACGTGAATCTTGCCTTCAAATCATCTGTAAAGATCCAAATGCATTATTTGATCATTCAAATTTTACTCAATTGGACGAAATTATTTTGATGATTGTCTTACAACAAGATGATCTTGGTGAATTAAGTGAAATTAGTATTTTAAATTATTTAGTCAAATGGGGAATTGCTCGAATATTAACTACTACTACTCAGGATATAACTGAATTGGAAAATTCTGATTATATTAAATTACAAAAAGTTATCAATGATTGTGTTCCTTTTATTCGTTGGTTTCAAATTCCAATATCTGAATTTCGACAAAATTTATCGTGGATTGAAAAAATTTTACCTTCAAAACTGTATTTAGACATTGTAAATTATCATTTTGACAATACCACACCACCAGAAACGTTTGAAGTTTTACCAAGGAATATTCCATCCAAGGACAGTGAAGAAACTCGTAAAGAAGCTCCTAGAAAGTCTCTTCATAGAAAATTATCTTCTTATGAAGATGTTGCTCATGATAATGAAAAACTGCTTCAAAGTGGAAAAGGATTCGACGTTATTATTCATGCTGGCGAAGGAGAAGATTTCAAAGAGTTTCACGCACATTCTGTTATATTAAGTTTACATTCCCCTTACTTTAAAGCTGCCTTTTCTGATGAAAATACTATAAAACATGAAAATTATTTTGTTTTTACAAAATCGAATATTCCAGCGACTATATTTGAAATGATTTTAAGGTAAATTAAAAGTTGGTTTTGCTTAAAATATAATACTTATTTTTATTTTCTTTAAAATGATCTTATTTTCTTATAAATGATCCTATTCTCTTTAAAAAGATATTTATATACATCAGAAATCGCTATAGATAAATTAAATGGTGTTGAAATCCTGCAACTCTTGGTGGCAGCTGACGAACTACAACTTCAAAACATTGTTGATAATTTTCAACCTCTTATGAATCAAAAACTTGAAGAAATTATGCGAGATGATATTGTTTTCATATTTTATACAATTTTTAAACATAATAACAGGATATATGAATCGCTGCGCGATAGATTTCTTTATTGTATTTGTATGAATCCAAGATTATTATTTGATGATCCAAAATTTACTCAATTAGATAAATATCTACTAAAAATTACTTTACAACGGGATGATCTTGGCAACATAAGTGAAGATGATATTTGGAATTATTTAGTTATATGGGGAATTTCTCAAGCATCAGACATTCTTCAAAGTAAAAACATTTATGAATGGAAAGAAGATGATTATTTGACTTTTAAAATGATTATTTACGAATTAATTCCTTTAATTCATTGGTTTCAAATTTCATCAACTACATTTAAACAAAATTTATTATTCTTTGAAAAAATTTTAGATAATGAATTATATCATGATATCATACGATATCATCTTAATTCGGTTATACCAAACAAGACATTTAGAACATTTCCATCCAGATATACTCCTTCTAATAATATAGCTTTTGTTAATCCGCAATGCTTCAATATTATTGCAAATTGGATTAGTATGTGTACTGTTGAAAAAACCCCCGAGATTAAACGGAAAAGACAATCATTTATGGATAAAATATTAAATTTGCATGATAAATCAAGTGTAAAACCTGAGGAACGAGAAAGTACTAGTTTACAAAATTACTTTGACAATTATAGATTAAGTAATAATAGATTTAGTAATTATAGATTTAGTAATTATAATTTTGATAATAATTCTTATTATTTTAAACTTCTTTATTGCGCTAAAAGGGATGGATTTGAAGCAGAAAAATTTCATAATTTATGTGATAAAAAAGGATCAACCGTGACGATAGTAAAAATTAAAGGATCAGAAATGATCTTTGGTGGTTATAATCATTTAAGTTGGGAACCTTATGAACCTCGGGATAATATTACCATGGCTAATTACACAAAATCAGATAAAAATTTTTTATTTTTTTTCGAGAATACTTTTTATGATTTAAGTCGTTCAAACCTTGCACGTGTTAAAAAGGACTCTTATGCAGTTGAATATAGTCCTTTAAATGGACCAATTTTTGGGCATTCTGATTACAAAGAGGGGTATGATATGTGTATATATAATAACATATTAGCTTTTGGTAGACGTAGTTGTTATCCTGATTCAAAAAATTTTTCAAAGGCATCACATTTTGAAATAGAAGATTATGAAGTTTGGCAAGTAAACTGTGTAAATGTATATAATTATAATTATTAAGATTTTGGTTATCCTTAATGTAATAAAATCACGCAAGAGGGAATAACCACTTTTCTACTGTTTATTCTTTTATCATGTGCGTCACTTTTTACTTTGGGTTCATCATATGCTGTAATCCGATCCAGCTATTATATCAATCATCTGTTTTATACTGTCCCTCAAAATTTCCCCGTTTTCCTTTTTTGTGAGATCTATTTGATATTTGGCTTGTACAATACAGACCATTGTAAAACAGTGATGGTAAATGACCTGAAATGACCCAAATGACTCAAATGGCAAATGATTAGTCATTGGGTCATTTCGAGACCCAAATGACTTAGAAGGTCATTTAACATATGTTAATTGATATTCTATTGCCATT